AGACGGTTCCTCTTTTCAGTAATGACGTTTCCAGCCAAAGAAAATCCGCGCTCTGCAGCAGCACTACTTGCCGGCATTGAGTGGACTTTAAGTGCGAATTTTGAGAGTCTGGGATATGTCTGATCTTTATCCTTCCACCATTTTAAAACATCAAAGTCATCTCCTATATCAACTATTTCTTCACAATAGCTTTCCAGCTCATCTTCAGGTGTTTTGAAGCTATTCAGAGTGGACTTTTGAATTAGGTTGGGGAAAAAAAAAGAAACACTCTGATCCTTGTCTGCTTGGGTACTTGTTGAAAAAGTTGAGCTTTCAAATGAAAATTCTGAGAAATCGCCGTTTGGTGTGCTTGGGCTAATTTCAGCAGAACTAGTTGATGGAACGTCCAAGTTCTTAATTTGTGAAATGCAAAATTTTCGTATAGCGTCATGATCGTTAGGCTGCATTCGTAACGCAGTTGGAAACAAAAAACAAGCAGCTTTATGCCACACACAAATATTTGGAATCCAAATTTCATTAACGTTATTACATATCTTTTCTTTTAATGTTACCAGTGCCGGTACATCTTCCTCTTGTGGTGCGCAAATATGCCTCATTTTTTCAATTGGTATCACAAGGTATCACAAAACACAGGGATGGAGAACTGCAGAATTGAAGCTTCTTAAAAATTATTTCGAAATCGCTACATAAGTCTACCAATTGTTTTAGGGTTGATATGTTTATAAGCAACAATCGCTGACTTTCTTGTTTTTCTATTAGAATTTCATTAATGTTGAACCAATTGTCCACAATAGACTTAAACATTGTGAAAGTCAAATTCCATCTTGCAATTCTATTCTGCAAAGTTTTGACGATATTTGAGCCTGGATCGGTAACGAACTTCATTTGGTCCAAATTATATATACCGAATTCAGCAAACAAAGTGTTCAACTTGTTTAAAACATTTGTGCTAGTTGAACGCTCGAAGTCCATTGACTTAACACCTAAGATGAGATCTACCAATTTTAAATCTTTTTGGTAGTGCAAGGTGACACCAAGAAAGTTGCGATGAACGTAACTGTCCATCCACAAGTCAACTGTGGCAGTTGCTCCACCACTATTAGCAACTTCGGATATCTCATCTTTAATCATGTTTTTTTTCTCATCCGCCAACTTTTGCGTAGCTCGAGACACCGTCGTTGCATCAGGCAGCAGGTCATCAAGATCAACTTCTTCCTTATACCTTCCACCAATATTGTCTAGAAACTTTGCCATGTTCCTAAATCCATTGCCATTAATTGATGAAAAGGGTCGGCAGTCCTGTGTCACCCATTCCACACATGCGTCAATAGCATCTTTTTTGTCCTCTGGTTTCGCTGTAGTCAACAATTTTGACTCTTTAAGCAACTTGCAGCATTTGTGTCGGCTTAAATTTGAAGTCTGTTTCGGTGAGTATTTCACAAGATTATGACAAGATCGGCAATATAAAAAACCATCCAGAACAACGCCATCCTCCTTAACAATTTCTGTTAATATGTTCCAAATATTACTTCTTCCCTTATGTCGGGCAGCCAATTGGTATTCATTTGAGCGAATTTTTTCAATGATACCCTCCATATCCATCAAGTAACAAAATGCAACTAATTATGAAGTACTAAAATGTAATATGAAGCAAAACGAAGAATGTGACCAAAAAAAACAAAAAAAAGGACAAGCTACAAACTACAAGCTAAACTACGAGAAGCTGGCATAGAAATTGTTATTGTACATGCAGTCGTAACGCTCACATTGTGTCGTCTTGTCGCTAATCGTTTAGTCGTCCACACTCAACTCAAGTTGATCCCATTGATGCTTTCGTATACACCTGCTCATTTTTTGGATCGGAATGATGCGTACGGCAAAATGATTTGATTTCACTCATCACTGTTTTTTGTTCAGTGAGTTGAATTGAGTGAGAAATTTTGAACCGAGGACACAAGATGATTGGAATGATGCGTACGGCAAAATGAGTTGATTTTTACTCATCACTGTGTTTCGTTCAGTGAGTTGAGTTGATTGAAAAAGTTCGCATATAATTAAATCAAGAAAGTAGTGATTTTTGAAGTTCTCTGATGCAAACCAGATACAGTAAAAATTAAAAAAAAACTTCTTTTAGCTAAAACAGGACGCAATTGAAAAGTTGTCATCCAACGTAAGTGGAAGAAGTATTGTCTGGTTGCTTAATCCGATTCTGTTTGTGTATACGCGAACTAGATTCTCAGTTTTACATTTTTAGAATTCTTTCTGGCTTTGTGATATTTTTAGCAAAGAGACCAGTTTAATTTTGCGGCTTCTCCAGCCTCTCCCGAGCGATCTTGGGCCCATCTGTGTGCTTTACTTTTTTCTTTTTCGCGGAGCATTACGCAAATTTCTAGCTTGTGACGACGCAATCCGGTTGTCTTAAAAAAATTATGTAGACCGCAATAACCAGATCATAGCTGAACAGGATGAAGAAGATATATCATAGGTGTTTTTACTGTTTTAAAATTTTACACAGTTCCACAGATCATCTGTTCTTGGCAGACACCTGATCCGGTTTTCGATAAATGTTCGGCTCTCTATAGTAGACCCCTTGCGTACGCATGTGCATGAGGTTTGTCAACAATTACATACCTAAACAAGAAAGGAAAGATAACTTTAGGCGGAGCCCAAGTTGTTATACCCTTGCAGTTAAAACCGGACATATCACAAATATCGGATATAGTTGCTCGACCCTGATAAGAATATCATATTGCAACCAATTTATTACAATAAAATTCAGCCGAAGGCCCTAGTTGCCATGGTTTTCGTAGTAGATTTATGTTCTGTAAACATAATAATAATGTTTTGTCTACGATGTAATAATAATAATAATATGACAATAAAATATCTTAAAAAAGTCTCAAGCTTCTATCTTCAAAAACACCAAAGTTGGTATTTCTACCAAATACTAATTCTGATCGTTCACTTATATGGCAGCTATAAGATATAAACGGCCGATTGTTATGAAATTTGGTAGGTCGGATCAACTGACCAAAAATAGAATCTGTTTCAATCAGAATTAAGTTTTATCTTTCTATCTTCAAAAACACGAAAGTTGGGTCATTTCCGATCATTCAGTTACATGGCAGCTATAGCATATAGTCGGCCGATCCCTCTGAAATTTGGCATGTCGTATTATTTTGCCACAAAGGCGAACTCCAAACTTTCTTACTCCAAAACAAGAAAGGAAAGCTAACTTCGGGCGGAGCCGAAGTTTATATACCCTTGCAGTTAAAACCGGATATGTATCGCAAACATCGGATATAGTTGGCCGATCCTTATGGGAATATGAATATATAATCCAATTTATTACAATGCAAAATCTAAAAAAAGTCGCAAACTTCTATCTTCAAACATACCAAAGTTGGTATTTCTACCAAAAACCATTTCCGATCGTTCAGTTATATGGCAGCTATAAGATATAGTCGGTCGATCGTAATGAAATTTGTTAGGTCGGATTAACTGACCTGATTAACTGAAAAATAAAATCTGTACCAAGTTCCAGCTTTCTATCTTCAAAAACACCGAAGTTATACCATTTCCGATCAATCAGTTATATGGCAGCTATAGGATATAGTCGGCCGATCCGGGCCGTTCCGACTTATATACTGCGTGAAAAAAAAGAAGAGTGTGCGCAAAGTTTCAAGTCGATAGCTTTAAAACTGAGAGACTAGTTCGCGTAGAAACAGACAGACGGACAGACGGACATGCTCATATCAACTCAGGCGGTGATTCTGATCAAGAATATATACATATACTTTATAGGGTCGGAGATGTCTCCTTCACTGCGTTGCACATTTTTGGAAAAAGTTATAACACCCTCTGCAAGGGTATGAAAACCCCGTCTTTGAAAAAGGGAGCAATAACAAAACAGATTAAAACTGTGTCTTACTATCACTGCTTAATGTTTTTTTCGGTCAATGACGGATAAAATACCTTTTTTTTAAAAACTGAATTAGCCAAATTAAATTAATTTAATTTATGGCCTCGTCTTTCAGATCACTACAATAAATTTCGAAAGTTTTTCTTGAAACTACCGTTTATATCTGGCCATCAAGTTATCTAAAAAATCAATTGACCGATCACCTTAAAATTTTTCCATGAAAACCGATAACATGTACAGAACTTGTGTTATATAAATTGTGTCTTATACATATTACATATTGTATACAAGAGAGAGTAGAGAGTATTTAAGGGGACCCCCCCCATTCTCGATTTTAAATTTTGACGATTTTCAATGGGCTGGCAAATGAACATAAATTATTTTTTAGGGTTGTAACTGTGCTTACATATATTAAGACACAAAAAGGAAGAAAATCATTTCACAGAATTTTTTTTTGTTTTGTTTTTGTTGTTGTTTTTTGTGATCAAAGAAAAGCCCTTCTTTTCGGCGGCGCATGTGATTTCTGCTCACTGGAACATCTGAATCCAAAAATTCCAACGGGATTAGAAAAAGTACATGTTTGGCTCTCGTATGAACTAGGATTATTAACTTCGCTCAAAAATTAACAAAATGGTGGACCTTTGAAATTTTTTTTTCGAAATTTCCATTTTTTTCAGCCACAAATCGAGTTGAAAAGTAAAGAAGATCTTCACCGATTTGATTTATCCTAGTTCATACGAGAGCTATATATGTATAGAATAACGTGTTAAAATTTGGAACCGATTGGATTAATAGTTTTTGAGTAACCTCATGAGCCAGTCGTAAAAACACTGTTTCGAGAAAAACGCGTTTAAAGTTTTGAGACGGCTCTCGCCGTCGCCTGAGGCTTCCACCATAAATCGGCTATATCTTTAAGAGTTTTTGAAATTTTTACTTGAAATTTTCAGGGAACATTCTTGAATAGTTACAAGTTCGAATTAAATTAAAAAAAAAAATCGATTTTTTAAAACCGAGAATGGGGGGGGTCCCCTTAAGAGAGTAGACAAAAATAAAAATTAATATTTATGCAAACTTACAGCCGGAAAACTTACTTTACTATAGTCCCGATGAAGATAGCAAAATAATGATAAGCGATTTTGGCTTATCCAAAATGGAGGATTCTGGAATTATGGCGACCGCATGTGGTACTCCTGGGTATGTTGCACCAGAGGTATTGGCCCAGAAACCTTATGGAAAAGCCGTTGATGTGTGGAGCATTGGAGTAATATCATACATTCTTTTATGTGGCTATCCTCCTTTTTATGACGAAAACGACGCTAATCTTTTCGCTCAAATTTTAAAAGGTATTATTTCTTAAAATTCGAAATTACACAATTAATAATAATTTATTTCAGGGGAATTCGAATTCGATTCACCATATTGGGATGAGATAAGCGAATCAGCCAAAAACTTTATAAGAAATTTAATGTGTGTTGCAGTAGAGAATCGATTTACTTGCAAACAAGCTTTGGGGCATCCTTGGTAAGGCTCTAAATATTTAAAATTATTAGCTTATGTAGTATCCCTTTTTGTAGTATGTTGATGTGGTGAAAAAACATAAACGCTTTAAGTAAATGGTGATAACTTATTATACCTTTGCAGAGGGTATTATAATTTTGGTGTGCAACGCAGTGAAGGAGACATCTCCGACCCTATAAAGTATATATATTCTTGATCAGGATCACCTCCTGAGTTGATATGAGCATGTCCGTCTGTCCGTCTGTCTGTCTGTTTCTACGCGAACTAGTCTCTCAGTTTTAAAGCTATCGTCTTGAAACTTTGCACACACCCTTCTTTCCTTTGCACGCAGTATATAAGTCGGAACGGCCCGGATCGGCCGACTATATCCTATAGCTGCCATATAACTGATTGATCGGAAATGGTATAATTTTTGGCAGAATAAAAGAACATAAAAAATTGCATAAGGATCAGCCGACTATATCCTATAGCTGCCATATAACTGAACGATCGGAAATGACCCAACTTTCGTGTTTTTGAAGATAGAAAGGTGGAATTTAGTACAGATTCTATTTTTGGTTAGTTGATCCAACCTCCCAAATTTCGTTAGGATTGGCCGACTATATCCTATAGCTGCCATATAACTGAACGATCGGAAATGACCCAACTTTTGTGTTTTTGAAGATAGAAGTTTGGGACATTTTTAGGTTTTGTATTATAATAAATTGGATATAAGGATTATAAGGGGTCCTTAAGGATCTGCCAACTATATCCGATGTTTGCGATATATATCCGGTTTTAACTGCAAGGGTATATAAACTTCGGCTCCGCCCGAAGTTAGCTTTCCTTTCTTGTTTTTCTATAATATTGTATTAAAAGTATTACCACTTGGTATACTTATATGACAAATATAAAGTTACTGTTTGGTCATTGATGATTTTCAATGCCAGTAAATAAAAATCAGCTTGTATTAAGTTTAACGTTATAAGTCTTTATTTGGCCGCATATGAAATTGGGATTTATGTACAATAGGTGAATTCCAATTTAGGGTGCGAGCGTAATAAGAAGACGAACGAGAGTGCCGCCAACCTTCCAGAATAGGCTGAGCGGATGCTCGCTAACTTTAAATGCCGAATTAGTAAAGCCGAGCGGCCGAAAGAGAGTCGGCTTGCGATCAACAAAACTTCAGTTAATAATTAATTATTATGTTTAAACTAGTTGCTTGCTGCTTGACCCGACATTCTCCCCCCATTTGGGGCTTCTACTCCAACTTCCTCCTTAAGGGGCAACAGGCACAGCTTAGTCACTGCTCGCTTGGTAATTCCAGATGAGGTTTTTATCACCGCCACTCGAAAGATACCATCCCGACCAGGGATTAACTCCATTATTCTCGCAAGCGGCCATTTCATCGGAGGTAGATTCTCGTCCTTTACTAGCACCACATCGTTCGGGGCCAAGGCAGGACCGGAGGCGCGCCATTTGGCATTCGATGGACTCCATAGAGCAAAACTCCAGCAGTGACCGTTGATGCTCTTCGCTTAGAAATAATCGGCGCAGCTCCTTTAGCTTGTTTTTGGCTCCGACAAAGTTGGTTGCGTTGTCCGACCAAAAATGTTGAGGCCTTCGGCGGGTGCATATAAACCGCTTTAAAGCCTGTAAAAAAGAAATTGTGGACAGATCCCTTACAAGCTCCAGGTGGACGGCTTTGGTAGCAAAACAAATGAAAACGCTAACGTAACAGTTTACTGGAGCTTTGTTTCGCACTTCCGGCTTATAATAAAACGGCCCACAAATATCCACACCAGTGACTCCAAAGAACTGGGAGCCGCTAACTCTTTGATCCGGGAGATCAGAATGTGCTCCAACAACCGAGGCTTAGTCTGGAACCATCGGATGCATTTGTGTATTGCCTTTGTCACGGTTTTTCTCCCCGAAATTGGCTAATAATGGGACCGAATGATTGCCAACAGCGCGCGAGGTCCCGTATGTAAATTTCGCTCATGGAAGTCAACAATTATAGCCAATTATAGTCAACAATTAACAACTGAATGGCTTCTTGGAAGTATAATTGGATGCTGACTATCGAAATCCAACGAAGAATTGTTTAGCCGACCGTCTACGCGCAACAGACCAAATTTATCCACGAAGGGAGGGATGAGGCAAAGGCCCTAGATACCATCTGCAGTGCTGGAAACGAATTAGCGTACTTAGAAACCGCTGTAATATCCACGTACGGAGACTGAATGAGCAGGGCCCTTGCACGTAACTCCAGGATCGATCTCTCAGATGAGACCGCGGTTGGCCACGACTCTTGGGATCCAATGAGAAACGAAGGACCGTGAGACCACAGCTTATTCTCAACCAATTCATTGGGAAGAGCATCACGCGACAGAATATCTGCTGGGTTTAGAGAAGTGGGAACATACTGCCACTCCATTTCTCTAGTTAGCTTCTGAATGGTCGAAACTCGATTGGCGACGAAAACATTAAACCGAGAGGGTTCTTCTCGGATCCAAGACAGAGCCACAGTAGAATCGCACCAGCCAGCAAAAATACTTTCAAACGTAGACCTTCAACTGGGCTACTTCCGAAATAAGTCGAGCCAACAACTCGGCTCCCGATAACTCCAGCTTCGGCACCGTAACAGTCTTTAACGGCGCAACTCGGGACTTCGAGCAGAGTAAATAGCTTGCAGATCCTGCGCCCTTGGACACGACATAAACGCATGCCCATACGCCTCAATGCTGGCGTCACAGAATCCATGAACCTCCACCTCGGATTTTGATGTTAGCGCCCATCTAGGGAATTCGGCGCGCTGCGTACTAAGAAAGATGCTACAAATTATATTTCAGTCGCAGTGAAGAGCTTGAGGAAGACTTTCATCCCAGGACAACTTCTCACGGCACAGTTTTTGGAGAAAGATCATTGCCTTTGAAATTACAGGACCAACGCGGCCTAATGGGTCATAAAGCCTAGCGACTGAAGAAAGAACGATCAAAGCTTAGGAAAGACTCCCGATTTTCAGGCACCTTATCCAGCATGTCAACAACATTGGAGCACCACTTCATTAACCGAAATTGGCCTTTGGGAAGGATCCCGGATGTTTGCTGCATTATGCTAATAGCTCCATCTATAGAGTTGCCTCCGGAAAGTAGATCATCCACATAAAAATCGCGACGCAGAATTTCGGCCCCTTTTGGAAACCTTAATTGCTCATCATCATCATCCTGACGCAACGATACATTTTGCAAATATCTCCAGTAATGGCCACCCTATGGCATCGGAACCTTAACAGAATATGAAGTAACTTTGGCTGAACAACTGGGCCAGACATCAACACGTCATTCAGTGAATATCCAGAAGTGGACAGCAGATCCGTAAAAAACAACCCTGAGCTTGGTTGTTGAACTGTCCTCCTTTAAAACACAATGGTGTGGCAGAAAGTACTGGCCAGTGACGCATCAGCAGGGAGTGGAGACATATGTCCCAACTCCAAATACTCCTTTATGAAGGCAGCATATTGCTCCTTCAATTGAGGACGGCGACAGAGCTTCCTTTCGAGGGAAAGAAATCGTCAAACGGCTTGGGGGTAAGATTTTCCCAGCAACTTAGAACCACATTTTAACGGAAGCGTAAGCGCCGGAATCCAGCCGAGCAACATGTTGCACGACCGGTGGAGCAGAGAATCCAGCTGATCATCTACCGTTGTTGCGCTTTCCGAAACATCCTTGTGGCCAGTGGAAACGAGTGATCTTCTCTGAACATGTGAACCGCCTCCACACACGACCCATCCAGGTCGGGTTTTCTGCAGCAATGGCGGGCCGGATGAGAGCTTAATTAGCCCAACACACAGCAGCTCATAAAACAGACTGGCTCCGATAAGAAGGTCGATGCGCTGTGGACGGAAAAATTCAGGATCAGCCAAAGAAAGATTGCAGGAATATTCCAACTGGAGACATCCAAACTGAAGCTAGGCTGCAGTTCCGTAATATTGGCGGCGATGACGGCGCTAACCAGGGCCGTGTATTCGGAGCAGTGGGACCGCAGAAGAACATCAACAGAGAATCCATCTGTCGCAAAGCCGGTATCGCCAATACCAGACACCGCCATGAATGATTTGTACCTCCGGAGCTGCAGCTGACTTGGCAGCCGGAAAGTGATCACTTGCACCTGCGATCCAACAGAGCTCGGCATGAAACAAGAATTCCAGCGCGACTACGAACAAGAATGTTCGCTGTAGCAAGCAACGATATATCGCCGCTGCGACCTTGAGCAACTAGTGCATTAGCAGTGGACGGCGAAGAGGCTACAGGCTCGGCGACCTCGGCTATGGCTGACATGGGAGGACCAACCAAGGGCTGGCCGCTAGATGCCTGCGGATCCAGAAAATGTAGCAGGCTGTGATACCTCCTTCCACAACAGCTACAATTAGCAGCGAGCCACTCACGCATGTGATGGCCCATTTGCAGACACTTCCGACAAAGACCGAGTCGTCTGGCCTTACCAAGGCGGATCTCAGGGGGCATTGACAGAAATCGGGGGCATGCAGAAATTATATGGGACCATCCACCGCATAGAGCACAGGCAGAGGGAAGCGAATTACTAACAATAAAGGATGATCTACTGTTATTTGCATCTCGACGCCTTCCCACGTGAGCGCCCATCGACACCCAAGTAGGGATGGCGTCTGCCCTGAGGAGTTTTGACTTTCCTCCCACTTAGCCTGGGTAGCTGGGTCCAACCTTTGAAGAAGAACCTGGACGATGATGCAAATGGCGATCTGATTTGACGAACCCATAATTTTTAAGGCTCGCTTTAAATAGCGAGCGCATATGGGCATTGAATTTGTCCGAAAGACCTCGAAGAGCTGCTAATGAGCCACTTTCCAACAGACTGAGGCCCAGAATCTCGTTCACGTGTGCCTTAAATATTAGGTGACGGTTATTAAATCGTTTCTCCAATAAATTCAGCGCGACATCATAATTCTCATCGGAGACTTCCAAGAAACGAGCTGCTTAGAAAGC